TATAAATAATTATACGTAGGCACACATAATTGTAGTAAGACTATATTTGAAATCAATAAATCATAATTATATATAATTTACTTATTTAGGAAGGAATCTTCCTAATTTATCTTTCACATATTAGGAATACTTAATTCCATCCAATTTTCCCATATATATTAATACTATATATATACACAAATACAAATACACACACAGATACACTCTTATACCAGAAATATTTATATCATATTTGTATATATATATAGTTCAGGAAATTAAACTTGTATTCCCTCAACTATTGGCCGATATGCAAATTAATCTCCTAACTTTCATCTCTTGCACTCAGATCCTAATTTTCATAATTAACGGCTATAAAAGAATTTAGGGTATTATATCTAGGGGGTGTTGTCGAGTTCCATTGATTGTGATTTGGGTATTTTATGGCTGTTTTGATGGTAGATTTTTGGTCAGTGGGGTTGATGTCTGATGTTTTCGTTGTACTTTTTGGCTTTAAGATGTGGTGATGTTATACATGCGTTTGTTTTATCGTCTCCCTTTCCATCTATCTATATAACCATGCTAGTTAGATGGTGGTTTAGGGGATTAGATGATAATGTTTCGCAAGTAGTTTTTGCACCCCACCCCCCCTGCGCGTGTTGCTGGACTACTAGGCAAAGAGGGGGTTTGAGGACCGAAGATAAAAATAAGAGGTGCATGTCCTTGCTTTAGTTTTTAAAGAACCGTGTTATCTCACTTGAGCAAGATGAAAATGAATCGTTACACTAATGGAAGACCTCAGCTTAGAAATTAATTCAAGTCAAATAAATATATACTCATTTTGACGAGGCAATAAGAATTCAACATTTCTGCTAGTTTATAAACCTATTGAGGATGAGGTATTGTGATATTTTCCATTTAAAGTTGTTGCCAATAATATGGTATTTATCTTTTGTTCTCTCTTTTTTCTTTCTATCATTTCCGTTTAAAAGTTGTTACGAATAATCTGCTTTTTTGCAGCTTACTACAGAGGAGCTATGGGTATCTTGCTGGTGTATGATGTCACTGATGAATCATCTTTCAATAGTAAATTCTCTTTTACATAGAATACATCTTTCATAGCTAATCTCAGATGTCTTGCTTTGGCTAATTTTTTCTAATCTGAGAATCCATCTAGGTCATTCATTCATCCTTGTGTTATTTTAGCATGTCAATATTGCACTGCTATCATTTACTGTGTTTTGACTGGCTGAATTAATTATATTTTTGGCTATGTTCAATTTTATTTGATCGTTTTTCTTGTTCAGATATTAGGAATTGGATTCGCAACATTGAGCAACATGCTTCTGATAATGTTAACAAAGTATTGGTGGGAAACAAGGCCGACATGGATGAAAGCAAAAGGGTAGGTGGTTGCGTTTTTAGACTTCGACACAAGAATTTTTACTTTCTTTTCTGATGCGAACTAAGTTGACGGAGCATGCTGTTTCCCTTTTATAAATGGTTGCATCCCTGATCTGAAACTGAAGATCATATAATTTTTCCTCCATGGGCTCCGATAAAGGTTCTTGCACAAAGTATCTTTTCATGTGCCATGGTTATTGATATTTTTATCTTCTTACATTTGCTAGGCTGTTCCTACCTCCAAAGGTCAAGCTCTTGCCGATGAGTATGGTATAAAGTTCTTTGAAACTGTAAGTAGAACTCGATCTTTCTCGATTGTATGTCTAGCCTAACTATTTGGTTTATGTCATAACTTCTGAATGATATTCTACTATAGAGTGCAAAGACAAACATGAATGTGGAGGAGGTTTTCTTTTCGATTGCTAGAGATATAAAACAACGGCTTTCGGAAACTGACTCTAAGATCGAGGTACAAGTTTTTTCTTATTTGTTATATCCTCTTATTTAAGAATTGGAAATGAGAAAATCATTCGACACAAGTTACATAAAAAATGTTAATTCTATCAGTATTCAGATACCACGAGGCAGAATTGTGTTAGACCCCTCCTTTTTTAGTTCCTATGGCTACTAGAATGGGACCTGGAGTGTACATTTTGGAGACAAAATTTAATTAAATTTTTTGTAAGAGCTCAAGATTTTAGACAAAGTGGTTTAACATGGTATCAAAGCATATAAAAGTTGTGAGTTCAGGTCTCACCTCTATCCAATTATGAAAATTGTGTATGTCTTAGAGTTTGATGAAAAAATGAGCTGTGTCTGCATGTGAGAGGCTTGTTAACAATTAGATTTAAATAAATAAATGTGTCCTCTAGCAGCATAAGCTTTTAGATTTTGCTTAAATTCTCTTTTTCATTGCCTTGGTATTTCTACGAATGCACAACGTTTGGCTGGTGATTGCAGCCTCAGGCCATTAGGATCAACCAATCAGATCAGCCAACTTCAGGTGTTGCAGCTGCACAAAAGTCTGCTTGCTGTGGTTCATAATATGAGAATTGACGACTATATTCAGAGCATTATAAGGTGTATAACTGTTGGGGATAAAAATTGTTCAGCCATATTTCAACTGCCTCATCGTTTTATTGTCTTTCTTCTTGCTTCTATGTATTAAAAGTTTACATTTTTTTTTTTTATCTTTTTTATCTGTGAATACGCTTGTTCGACTATTTATTCGACCCTTCATTTGTGCGCGATCATATTTTCGTTACCTTGTGCTCTGTTCTTGTTTTTCCCTTTCTATGGCATAATTACACTACCGGTTTAGATGTGAAGGAAAAGAAATGACAACAGATTCTTCTAATTTACTTTGGGCATAAAGATAAAACTTGATTTTGTGTTTGAATGTTAATTGGCACAAAACATCTCTATTCTTTTTGGGATCAGATTGGATCGATTTTCAATCACACGTGAAATTGAAATCGACTAGATCACTTTGGATAAATTAATCCTGAAATTGACTCAAATCGAATTGGTTTGGCTTGGGCTCAAAATGTGTGTGTGTGT